AATAAATTATAACAATTATGTTTAGAATTAAAAAAAAATAAAATAAAAAAAATTCATTAGAAAAAATCGATGTTAATCGGGATTTTATCGAAAATATCGATAACGCCGATTTTTTTTTTTTGAAAATCTAGTATATAAATTATATGATATTTAATAAAGTTATAAGTGCAATTTAAGCTTTTTGCATATCTGTGTACTGTGCGGCCTGCCCTTTGCGACTCGCTCGTTTGCTTTATGGCCTCTCAGGTTGTGTTTTTCTTACACTACATATTTGTTTGTTGTCTATATAGAGGAGTCAAACCGGTTGCCAGGTTCATAGGCGATGCTTTGTTGAAAGTCGTCTCTGTCTACTAGACTATAGCTTTTGTATATATCTCTCTCATTTATTGCTGCACTTCTAGTTTTGATTTGTTTGTTTGTGTTCTTGTGCCAAGCTCTGAATTTTTACCTTCTTACCTGCAATTGGTATTGTGGGGGTTATCAGTTGGAGATCGTGGTGCAGAATCAGTTATAACTCGTTCTGAGAGTTTATGGCTCCGCTGTTTTGATTGTGGGATGGTTAACCTGATCCAAAGTTTATTGACTTTGTCTCTTTTTGTTCATTGGTTTTATTGGGTTTTAATCTAACATTTTTGTATTTTAATTTCTAAAAATTTTAGATTATTTTACTTGTCCAGCGAACACCAACCGAACTCATGGTCCATGATCGCAACCTTTGCTTGAGCTGCTGCGGCCTACTCTTTCATTTGGCTGTCAGCCAGTTAACGTATTCCTCATTCTGCAAGTTACCATAAAAAGACTTCAATTGCCAACTGTCAACTAGTGGGGAAACTGGTTAAACTTTTTGCAAACGGAATAAAAAAAAAATGAAAATAAAATCAAAATTGTTTGACTGTTGCATTTGGTGCACATTTCTGCCGGTTTCTCTTTATGGCCAAGACAAGTTCTTGACACTCATCGGAGAGCTCACGAAATGGTAGAGAGACGCCCACAGAGATACTCAGCGGATACACAAGTGTATCTGTGGGTAACAAATTTTAGCCATAAGCTGGCTACTTAAGCCGAAACCTAGACTCAAAGAGAGATTTATTGAATCATACATTTGGTGTTTCGGTTGCAGCCGAGTGATTCGACAAACGCAGGAGCAATCAACGAAGCGTGCCACTTGAAAACATGCAATGTTGCCAGTCAGTCTACCCCCTTTGGGCCAAAACGCATTCATTATTAGTTTGCCCACATAATAAATGATGTAAAAAGTAGGCGTACTCGCAATTCACCTCACCGATAGGCGTCAAAGTGGGTGGAAGTGGGGGAAAACGGTGGAGGGGGCGCCAAAAGAAATTCAAACTATAAAATAATTACACAAAAATAGTTTTCGCTGCTCGCCATAATTTTTAACATTTATTTCTTTACCTTTTTTTTTTTTTGTTAAAAATGTGTTTTGGAAATTGCTGAATGGCAGGCAATAAAGTGTTTTTTGCCTCTTTTGGCAATCTTTGTTCGATTTCTTTAGCTGCTGGTAATGAGGAATCAAATAGTTTGTTAATGAGTGTATACATTTTACTCACCGCACTTTCGAACATTTCTCAAGTTGGATTTGGCAAGAAAACCATTAAGAAAAACACCAAAGTAGGTTTTTAAAGTAAAAAGTTTTAATGTAATGGATAAGTTCACTTTAAATTATAACCCAAGAAGAAAGCGTTTTAAAGAGGTAAAAATAAATAGGATATATTGAAATTACTGCAAAACAAGAGAGAACGCTATAGTCGGGTGCCCCGACTATCAGATACCCGTTACTCAGCTAAAGGGAGTGCGAAAGAGATGGAGAAAAACTTTGATCCGCCGTAACTTTTTAACGAATGGTCCGATTTAAAAAATTTCTTCTACATTTCGATAGGTATTGATAAACACAATAAAACTGCATTTTTACTTTTCCGAAATATTGAAATTTTTAAAATCGTATATAAGCGATTGTGGGCGTTAGAGGGGGCGTGGCACCCTTTTGAAACAAACTTGCGCTGCGTAGGAACTCCTAGAACCTGCATGCAAAATGTCAATCTTCTAGCTTTTATAGTTTTCGAGATCTCAGCGTTCATACAGACAGACAGACAGACAGACAGACAGACAGACAGACGGACAGACAGACGGACAGACGGACATGGCTAGATCGACTCGGCTAGTGATCCCGATCAAGAATATATATAGTTTATAGGGTCGGAAACGCTTCCTTCTACCTGTTACATACTTTTGCACGAATCTAATATACCCTTTTACTCTACGAGTAACGGGTATAATTAACAATTGGGGGTTATAAATTAGTATATAATATAGTATAAATAAAGTTTAAAGGTAATGGTTAAAGTTAAGTTCATTAAATTCGATTATATTATAAAAATCTTTATTTTGTTTATGATCAACCTAATAATATCTCTAGTAAAAATAAAAATAATATAGTAGAATTACTGCAAAATAAAAAATACGTTAAAAATTAGTATTTAATCTTTAATTTGCTTATGATTAACTTAATAATCTCTCTTGTTTTGTATTTGGCATTTAAAGAGAAGGGTATTAAATTGTTTCACTGCACACCTAAGGCCTTCCCTTACTTTAGCTATCTCCTCTCCATCGCAATGATCACCAGCTTGCACGTGCTTTGGACACCTTAGGATACCTTTTAGATGGTAGATAGGCCAGCGACAAATTTAACTACTGCCAGTCAGACTCGTAAGCCATAATCGTTTAGATGCTGTTCATTCGTCATAATGATCGTGCTGGCCAGATTTCGGGGGATCGGTAGCCAGGAGATTGAGAGATGGAGGTAGAGACTACTGTTAAATGTGCAGGTAAATCAAGGTGTGCTCGCCAGCCAGCTAAGCTAAACTCCAATCCGCACTTCAGACCCACTCTCCATGGGGGCTGTACAATGTGTCTGCTGTGTCTTGGCTTTCGAGTATTTTACGTTAATTTACGCCGAAAACTGTTGAGGAGATTTTGCGCAGCAGTTGTTGTTTTCTGCTTTCGGTTTCATTATGACTGGAAAATCATGCAATTTTGGCTTGGTTTTTCTTGGCTTGGCAGTTGCACACTTGGCCAGCGAGTTGCAACACCCATTTTGTATCGTTGCTCTGCGGTTAATCATATTTCTCTGCGTCTGTCTGTTGTTAAATTAGCAGCTGCGCTTGAGACAGCTTATACATTTTTTTATTTGCAGGATATTTAGAGATTTATTTTTTTTATATTTTTTTTTTTTTGGGTTTTCCTCTTGTTTTTGGAACTCTGTGCTCTGTAGATAAGTGACGCTTCTGCTCGCACATATTTCTCTTGTTGTTGGGGTCTTTCTGGTTTTACGCGCTTTGCTGACTCGACTCTATGTGATTTTACTAATTGGATTTTCCGTCTTGGCAAACACTGTTGCCATGTCTGTTTCGTTGTCGTTCGTCGCTCTGATTTGGCATTGTCCAAAGTGTCAATTGGATTTGAGAACTGTTTCATAACAGATATGCTGTATCTTTCAGTGCAAACTGTGTGTGAAAGTGTCGGTTGGCAATTTAAAGCCGAAAATAATAATATTAATTTAATGATCTTCGCACTGTTTGATTACGTCTTCGATTGATGGCAGTGATTTATTATTATTTTTACGACCAGCTGTCGGAGTGGCTCTCAAATTAAATTTATTTACGTGCCTTACTTTATGCGCTCGGTCAAAGCAATAGAAATCCATTCCGTCGACCATAAAATAGACTCAAAATCAAAATAAACTGAAACAGCTGCCGAGATGCTTGACCAGCTGAACAATATTATCAATCGAATTGCGATTTTTTGTGCCATTTTTTTTGCTGACGCTTTCACTTGGCAATTTTTTTTTCGGGATCAGCCAAAGAGGAAAAATAAAACATAGTATTTATGTGTTTTCGAAGTTTTTCATAATTACTTAATGCAGTTCTAGTTCATCATGGTTTTTTTTCAGGATATCGTAAATTTATTGGATGTGTATATTTTCTGAATCGCGTTTTTTTTTGGGGCTTGGTTTTGACTTTGCCAGCTGCATTCGGAACATAAACAATATGAGGAAACCAAGGAAGCTCAGTAAATTTGAAATGAAAAATTGCCCAAGCATGCAAATTATTAAAAGAAACAAAACGCAATATATTGAATCTCCGACGTGATTCACAGCCAAGCAAACAAACCCCGGACCCAACACGATCTCAAGATTTGTGAGCCTTGCAAAATGTTGTTTTCCAGTCCGTCGACACTTTCGATTTTTTCCGTTTATAAGGAGGGGCAATATCTGCAGTTAAGCTGTTAATTTATTGCTTGTCTTTTAGCTTTTCCTTTGTTGTATTTATGTTTCTTAATCAATTTCTGATAATCTTATTCATGGCGGGTTCCTTTAAAATATATTAACTATATTTATTTTACTGATAAAGCATAAAACATAGTAATCCCAAAGATCTTACATTAAATTGTTGCATTCTTAAGAAACTTTGTTTTCCGCCGTAACTACAAAACTAGTTAATTTATACCAACGACGCATTAACCAGTCTTGTTTGATGTTATGAATAATGTAACGAAAGTGATAACAAATTGGATTCCCGCATGCTATCAAGCACTGACTCACATACGCCCCCAATTACTGATTAGGCAAGCTGGTATTCCGCAGATTTGATTTACCCCTGTGCTTATCAGTTAAATATTTACGCTGCAGACACGCACCTCGATAAGGTGGAGATGGTATTAGGTACACCATATACGGAACTTCTACGGGTTTTATTTCATAATTTAAATGCGGGGGTATTTTACAATTGTTTACTTTGGTCTTTATTGGGGGCGGTAATATTTGTGAATAGATAATGATGGGTATTTATTTCTGTGGGAACAGGGTCAACTTAGAAGTGACATAACTGGGTCGTGAATTCGGGTGGCAAGAGATTAGTGGTATCTAATTGTTGATTTATTAATTCCTATTTTATTAATGTAAATATCTCTTCTTATCTTTACAGAAATCTTTATGTTTGATAAGAACATTTAGTGAGAAACTATTCAGCAGGCACTTATGTAATTTTAGGTAAGTTTTTTATATTTTAAAAATATTATTAAAAAAAAGATTCTCTGCATCGCTGCATTTAGTTTTTATGCAAATAAAATGTCAAACATTAAACTGCTTTTCAAGCGTAGCTAACTGCGCGATAATGAAATTCAAATAGCTGCGCAGTGAATAACAAGTGAGTTCATTCAGACTAGACTCATTTTTCTCAATCTCACTTTATCTTTGTCTTCAAAAATGTATGCATAAATAATTGCAATTTATTGCATTTTAAGATAGCTCCTACAAAGATTGAATTAAAAACGCATTTCTAAGACTTTCTGGCTGCGCAATATGTTCTCGGGCGATAATATGGAATCACAGCTTTGTTTATTGCTTTGTGACCATTTCTCGATATCAATTCATGCACATTTCCATGTAAATTGCCCGAACAGCTGGAAGCAAGCCGTAATGATAAGGAAAAAATTCCATTAAATTCTGTCGAATGAGGCATACATGTTTTTCTAAAAAAGAAATTTAACCAGTTAATAAAACACATTTCAAACTTAACTAGACAAAAGAATACTAAACAACTTTTGCTATCTTAAAACCTGACACTCTAGATTATTTCTTTGTGTCAAAGTTTTACACTTGAAATTGCAGCTTATTACATCGTATCATTTGATACCCCCTTGGCGATAAGATGTTTCGTAAAACCCAGAAAACCATAAAGCTAAAAATCACATTCGATGAGTAGTCGAACAACCTTGTTGTTCAGACATTTCCACACACAAATTGCCAAGCGAAATCGATTTCGAATTACAAAATAATACAGAACTGTAAATGGAGGTAATGAAATGGAATACAACACGAGACGGACGTTTTCATGATGCGTGAAAGTCAACCTCAGCCTTGTGCGGCTAGGAAGCGAAATAAATCGCAACAAACAAACAAAGTGAAATGTAAACATCGTAAAATGCGAACTACATGCGTATATGTGACTACAATAAAATCAAGCTAAACAAGAGCATTCAATGAGCCACTTTTCATGCTTGCCGCGCTGAAAAAGATCGGTTTAAAAAACGAAAAACATCAAAAATAACGCCAATTCGAACTTATCTTAGATGGAGCGCCGCGCTTGACTCTTTTATTCCTTTTTTGTTGAGTTTTGGCTGAGTTTTTTGTGTAAAATAAAATGCTTCCATGTCAAGTTTGTTGAGCTTTATTGTTGGCAAGGTTATTGCACACGAGAAGCGCTCGTAAAAGCAAAAAAAAAATGTATATAAACAAACCGCAAAAGAATAAATTTTAAGGTAAAACATGCGATAATTAAATATTTGATATGTCAGCTGGTCGGCAAAACTACAAAAGTAAAGGGGAATTGTGAAAAGAGGGGGTGAAATATATGTGGTATAGAGATAGAGTTCCCAGACCGCACCTTCCAGCTGTTGGCTAAGTGAAAATGAAACTTCCGCCAGTTGCAATTCCCGGATCAAGAATTATCACAAGTGCAACGCCCATAGATCGCAGTTTCAGTGTCTCGTACTTATGGCCATCGAAATGCAGTCGCTGCATTTTAATCAAGTGCCAAGAAAACACCTCCAATCCCAAGGCTGCCAGCAAGACGGCTGCTTGGCATTCGCCAGGCATTTGCATTTTCTTTTTCGGTCCCCCAGTCGGAAAAATTCCATGCCATAAATGGGGGAAAACTAAGGGGGAAAAGACAAGAAGAAATCAAAGTAGACAAGTGTAAAATATTCCACTCACCGGCATTATAGCTAATGGCCATAATGAATATGAATTATTATTCACGCTAATATCGTGCCTCAAAGGCAATATTCAATATGCAAAAGCTAATGTCCGGAAATGGGTATGGCTAATCATCTTTGAAGAGGCTTCTGGTTTTGTCATGCATGAACGCTCTTATAGAAGGACAACTTGAATTCGGGATAGAAACTATTATTGAAATTAAATTAAATGTATATTAAAACCTACTAGACTCATAAAAAAATAAACAAAATATTTTAAAATTAAATACATTTTTCTAAAAAATAAAGAACTTTTCAAAATGTTCTTTATTTTTTTAAATTAAATTGGCAACATTCTTCCCTTACATCACTAATCCATTTAAATCAAATAAATTTATTCGTTCTAAATTCTGCTCTAATCTAATTTATATCCATTAGTACGCCTGCTGAGCGCCTTTGTCATTTTGACAAGCCGACACCCTACAAAATGCATAGTCCAACTTTATTGTTAGCCAAGTCGCCAGACAATAGACTCATCTCAAATCCCCAGCAAAAGGAAAGAATGAAAAGGCGAATAGCCCCGCATTTTGTAGCTTTACCTCTATCTCACCCTCGCACGCTTAAATTTATTATCATGTAAAACTTTTGTGCAACAATGTGAACAACAAAAGCTCAAAAATCGCAGCTACTGTGCAGCTGTTCAACTGCTCTCCACCCCCGGCAATTGTTCTAGTTGATAATTTATTTGAATATTTGGCATAATTATTACGAACCGAGCAACAAGAAACAAAAGACCAAAACCCGTTATATAATAACGCATATTTCGAGAGACCCAACTATTATGTGTATCTGTAGGATATATAATTGCACTGAGAATTGGGCAAAACAGAACTACTATGTTCAACTTGGGAAGTGGTTCGGTTCGGTCCGGCTTGACTTGACATTGAGACTGAAACTGAGATAATGACCAGATAACCAGTAATATTTTGTATGTATGACTCTGCTATCTGATTGCTGGCAAATGAAAAATGATTGTCGCTAATTGTGGCTTAAGTTTGACCAGGGGAAAGGAAACCAGATTTATTCTAACTTTAGATTTCCCCCTTTAGAGGGGAAGATAAATGATTTTGCTCAAACACTGAAGATTGGCCGTTTAAGGCGCATACACATACACTCACTTAAAGTCGATTAACTCCATAGCCAAATGAAAGCCCACACCGAACGAGAATGAGAATGAGATCGAGAACTCGATCTTCTATAATTTTGTAGTTTGCGCCTCTGGCTCTTCTCTTTGTTTTGAGATCTGATCTGTTGTTGCGATCGTCGTCGTGCGTCTCGAATCAAAACGCGCATAAATTTCTATGCTTTTGTAACTCCCCTCTTTCCGATCTCCAATCCCCGATCCGAAACAGTAGCGGCATCCATTAATCAAAAGGCTCTACGGTCTAGCCATCGCGAAGATCGCATATTAGTTACACTTTAGCGGGGCGCCCAGAAATCTGAAATCTGATGGCGGGTTATTAGTTCGCCTGAGTTATGATGCAAAGCAGTTGGAGATTGATCGCTTACATGATGAGAGTGGCTGGGCTGCTTCAGTAACTTGAGCTGACATAAGACTTGGGGCACGGCCTGGGTTCAAGGCAATCCAAGAGACAAGAGACGGCTTAAGAACAGACCTCCACTCCGATGGGGCTAATGGATTGTGGGAAGTGCTCCACTAAGCCGAGATATATTAATTCTATAGGTGCACATGCGGAAAAGCTGTTGAGAGAGTTTGAGTCATATCTGTAAATCACTAAAATAAGTTTTAATAATATTTATATTAATATTTATTTATTATCTTAACATTTGGATTAATATTTACTTATACTTGTATTAATATTTTCTAATATTTGTTTTAATATTTTTTATGAATTAGATAGGTACGTTTTAATTAGTAATATTCATTTGAATTATTATGCTAAAACGTAGCTAAATGTCAGATCATCATAAAAATGAATGGTTCTTCGTTTAATATTTATCTTGATCTGAGCCTTAACTCATTTTAGGTGCCCATAAATATAACCATTTTGCATTTATGACTTATTGTGTGCCAGCGTTCTTTTATATTGCGATTTTCTAGCGCAATGAATCCTTTTATATTTTTTGCAAGGCCATGGAGAATGGCTGAATAAATTTGTTTGCATTTCTATTCGACTTTGCGTCAACGCTTCACGAGCGAGGGAGAAATGTCAACAAAGCTTCTGCAATTCGTTCGCTCACATTGGCAAATTTATGCAAATTTTTATTTATTAAATAAACACGCAAAGTGCGTGTCATCAGCTGTTACACCAGAGGGAGGATTGTGGGTGGCGTGGGACTGACGATGGTAGTTAGTACGCCTTTTATTTGGGGCCAACGAACGACAACGACAACGACGAGGACAACGGCAACGACAACGCAACGACAATCGCTGGATGTTGATTGGCAATTTGTTGTAGTAACTACCCGAGTTTAGTTTACTAGGAGGGGTTCTATGGGTGCTAATGAGCTTGAGGTTACGGCTGGAGAAAGGGAGAAAGACATAGTGTGAGTGTGCGTCAGAGGAGCGATAATGCGTAAGTGATTGTTATGAAGATCATAAAAATAGATATATCTTAATGGGTTTTTTTGTGCGTGGTTGTTTGGGTCTCTCAAGCCACAACTATTTTATATAGAGTTACAGAGCATTAAAGTAACCAAGTTACTTTTTAATTAAAACACTTTACTTTTAACTTCTTAACCAACCAAGCACATTTAAAATGTTTGTCACATCCTTTTTCTTTGCCATCAAAGTTAACTGGCACAAAGTTCGCCAACTTTTCTTCCATCAGTCTGTGAAATTCTGTCTGGCCCTCGACAAGTTGTGATTGCTGTGATATCGTATAACCACTTTGGGACTAAGTTACTTTTACTGGCTTTTTGCCCCCCACCCTCTATCAATTATAAAAGATACTGCGCCACCGAGCATGAAATTAGTCTGTGCCTATAGTACGAAACTCCCTCCTCTACGCACATGTACCTTCCCCGTAAATAGCCATGACTTTCATGACAATTCGCAGTAGTTACACGGCCCGTCATCGCAGTCGATATCATTCGTATTATATATTATGGACTCTTTTTCCCATTTTTCTCTCCATATTAATTTATGCATTTTTCGTTGATTGTCTTGCGTTACAGTTGACAAGTTCTGCCTGGTCGGCGGTGGTGGGTGTTCCCGGTGGTTGTTGCTGGCACTTTGTTTATGTGGTTCGGGTGGAATAAGTACCACAATTT